AAAGTTTTTGAAATCTTTCTTTGCCCAAGTCCTTATTTGCTGCTTCATTATTGTGTTGGTTGTTTAATGAGTACAATTTCAGGTTCTATTTGGTTTAAGCTTTGTGCCTCCTTTTGTCGACAAATTTTATACTTTTAAAAATACTAGTAACACTGAAGATAAACTCTAAGATAATGCAATAAAGAGCTTCTTTTGGATGATTTGGAGACTATATTGCATTGCTATTTCAGACCCGATAAATATTACGCGTGACATAAGTAAATCAATGTTTGTGCAGTCATAGTCATTTGACAATTGGTCCTGCTGATAGTCACAAAGCATTTCACCTCATTACATATCTGGAACTTTGAAAATAAGTTTGTCTAAAAACTGATTGATGGTGTTAAATTAGCTATATGCCATCTTTTTTTTAGTAGCTGTTGTGGTGATGGGCATATCTGATGGGAGTTCCTAAATTCAGGAATACTTGGAGGAATCTGTGTTATTGCAATCAAGCAGCCATGAAATGTTGGGCGATTCGGTTGCCTGGGGTGGATGCACAATAATCTACTTGCTTGGTCAGCAACTCCACTTTGAACTTTTTGATTTTTCACATCAAGTCCTCAATGTTGCAGAGGTAGAAGCAGTTGCAATCATATCACCGCAAAAAAGTCCTCCATTTGTTCAGGTATAAGTTTTCCTTCTGGTGGTTTGTCCTGTTATGGATATGGTACTGCAATTGATACCAATATAATCTCCTTTTGGAAAACGTGTCAAATAGGTCACTGAACTTAAAAAGTGTTCAATTAAACCATATTAAACAAGTAAAATATGTGCAATTGAGACAGTTTTCTCGATAGAATCCAATCATATTACTTACATGAGATGTACTAAGAATCGCCATTTCCTTTGTCATACCAGTTGGGTTGAAAGATTGAAATGTTTTCAACTTAAATTGCATTAAAAGAGATCATAAAAATGTCCTAATTGCATATATTTTGTTTGTTTGATGGTTCGATTGTATACTTTTTATTTAAGTTCAGTAACCCAATTGCACAAAAGCAATAAGTTCAGTGACCTATTTGACACTTGTTCATTTTCTTTTCTTTTCTTTTTTGTAACTGTATGATTAACTGATTAAGTTAAGAGAGAACGTATGGGTTTATAAGACCATAGGTTAGACTAGCTAATTGATTGAATTTAGTATGGTTTGGCCCATATGTCATTATAACATGGTATCGGAGCATGTTCAGAGATTATAACATCACAAAAACTTGTAGTTGTACGGTTGTACCAATATGTTTTCTGACAAATCTGTATATATTTTACTATACAAGGGATTGGATAGCTTATTAGAGGCTATGAAGAAAGCAAGGAGATTAAACAATCATGTATTTTCAATGTTGAAAGCTCGTTGCCCACTTGAAGACAAGCAAGCCTGTGCTATCAAACAGAGTGGTGCACCACTTCATCGTATCAAATTCGAGAACACGGTATCTGCTTTCGAAACACTACCTCAAAAAGGTGCTTGAGATGAATGCATGGTTGGTTGCTCTAAATTACATATTCCTGTGTATATGTTCTTCTGTTTTTCTGCACTTCTCCATAGATGACACAGCCTGAGCCCTGAGGATTGGTACACTTTGATTTTGGGTCAGCTCATTAATGGCTTTAAAAACTTCTGTTGCAACTTCACCTGTTTTGTTATACAAGTAGATACTGCTGTGAGTAAAAATATCACATATTAGTGTTCTGCTTACTTTGATGCCATTGTCTCCAGTGATGATAGAATGTTTACTAATTTGATACTCTCACCAAAAGGTTGATGTGGGATATATGCATCTCAAATTTTATGAAGGATGGCATTGCATCTAACTATTTATATTCTTGATTCAAGATCAATCTTTATGTGCACTATTTCAAGTGTTGAAGGGATAAATAGCTAGAAAATATTTAGAAAAATCATCCAAAAAGGTTGCAAAATATTTGAAACAACTCTTTGCTGTAACATGACATGGACCCCATAGAATGAATTAGCTCAAACAAAGAATCTACTCTATTATTGACCTGAGGGTAAGAAACTTAGCAGTGTTTCAAACTCACATAACTCATAATGTTGTGCTTTCAATATATTAAAAATGAACATTTATTCATGGTTCACAATATAATTTATCAGAAATTGATTGTTAAGTATTGAAATTATTTCAATTGGCCAAAAAAAATGAGCATATTAGGGTTATGTTCAATTGTTATATTATGGATTATATTGCATTGTGAACTCTAATCCAAAAATTATGTGTCTGCAGTTAACACATTCAGTACCTGTAATTAATTGTTTCTGCTGTAAACAAATTAAAGACACATAACATGATAATTACAGACGCATAACATGATAATTACAAACACATAAATCGTTAATTGCAAGTACAGAATATGTTAATTGCAGATACATAAGATGTTGGTTAACATTATATCTGTTTGCAGTTAACATATTTTATACTTGTAGTTAATAGTTAATGTGTCTGTAGTTATCATGTTGTGTTTGTAATTGTTTATCGGTGTAGAAACTGTTAATTGCTGGTACAAAATGTGTTACAATAACAGCCATTAACGTTTGTGTTTCATGAACTTTCAAGGCCTGTCTAGCTCAGTTGGTAGAGCGCAAGGCTCTTAACCTTGTGGTCTTGGGTTTGAGCGCCCCAGGGTGGGTGAATTTGAGAAGATCTTTAACCTTTTCATTGTTTGATGATAATGGCCAATCATAAGAAAAGATGTAGAGCGGGATCAATTTTCATTACAAAATAACGATTTTATTTACATTGCCTGCTATACAAAATGGTCAATTCATATATATATTTACGAGTTAATACTCAAAATTGTCTTCGACTATAGTAGTTTTTCTCAATTTCGTCCTAAACGACTTTAGTGATCTAATGTAATTTCAGATTTTTGTATTTTTGTTCAATGTAGTCATCCGTTTGTTATTTCGTCAAATTGGCACTAAATAAACGGTAAAAGAGAGGCCAATATTGAAATTATTGAATTACCCTCTATTTAGCACCAATTTGACGAAATAACAAACGGATGACTACATTGAACAAAAATACAAAAATCTGGAATTACATTAGATCACTAAAGTCGTTTAGGACGAAATTGAGAAACACTACTATAGTCGAAGACCATTTTGAGTATTAATTCGTAAATATATATATATGAATTGACCATTTTGTATAGCAGGCAATGTAAATAAAACCATTATTTTGTAATGAAAATTAATCCCGCTCTACATCTTTTCTTATAATTGGCTGTTATCGTCAAACAATGACAAGGGTTAAAGATCTAAAAATACGCCCACCCTGGGGCTCGAACCCAGGACCACAAGGTTAAGAGCCTTGCGCTCTACCAACTGAGCTAGACGGGCCTTGTAAGTTTATGAAACACGAACGTTAATGGCTGTTATTGTAACACATTTTGTACCAGCAATTAACAGTTTCTGCACCGATAAACAATTACAAACACAACATGATAACTACAGACACATTAACTGTTAACTACAAGTACAAAATATGTTAACTGCAAACAGATATAATGTTAACCAACATCTTATGTATCTGCAATTAACTTATTTTGTACTTGCAATTAACGATTTATGTGTTTGTAGTTATTATGTTATGCATTTGTAATTATCATGTTATGTGTTTTCAATTTGTTTACAGGTACAAAAACAACTAATTGATGGTTTTGCCGGGACAGACCCACCATAAATCAAGTATAAATATATAGAATGAGGGTAAAATAATAGCAGTATTATTGCTTAGGGCACTAGGCCCAAAAGAGTGCTATAAAGTCCTAAATACCGGCTTAAAATGACGTCCAAAATATTAAATAAATAATAAATACTATAGTCCATGGATTAGGAAATACTAGGGATAATAGTGTAGCTAGCGGGAATCAAATGATGGTGTATATAGACTATAAGAGAGGGCAAATGACAACCAAACCAGATGGCTTGTAATGCTCAAACCATGATGTCCTAAAGAGACAGAGCATCGTCCCTGTTATAGCAAACCATGCCCTCGTTGTGCCATCCACGTGTAAGGTTGTCAATCCCTTCCTCTCCCACTAGCCACGTACACCACACATGGCCGACCCCACGCAGAGACAACTAGCCCCACCCCCACAAAAGAAGGTAGGGGCAGGGGGAGGACACGGCGACGACGGGGCATGCACCACCCCATTTGGCCGCGCCACCCCAAACGCCCCTAGATGAACGTCGGGCTAGCCCCTCTACCACCCAACTAGTCACGCACCACCCAACCCGTGCAACCAAGCAAAACGGAGGCCGCTAGGCTACACAGTAGCCGGCGGCACGCACCCATCAATCATTATTGCATGGACCATGCTCCACACAATTGTATGTATCATAAATAAAAAGTACATTTTTAATATACTAAATGTACATTATTTATGTACATAAAGTACATTTTTTGAAAGTACATTTTTAAAATACTAAGAATATATTATTTTATATAATGTATTTTCAATATAACAATAATGTCTCTTCAATACAAAAATATGTACTTATAATATATTAAAAATGTACCTAATATTCATGGTCTGACCATGGTCCATTGGTCCATTACAATAATTTGCCGACACCCATCCGTGCCCTGACTCACCTCCCTCGACCCACCTTTTCTTCTACTGGATCAGACCAAGCCCACCAAGTTCAGCCCATAACTCATATCCCCATCAATTCTCAAGATTTCAAATTTTGGTTAATTTGCTTCTTTTATCCGAGCCAATTAAAATACCAAAACAAATTAAAATGATATCGCTATTTCACCTCCATCATCTGCGAGAGGAACCAAAACTTGAATATATTCCCAATATAAAATCTCCAAAATCAAAGATAACCAAAATATGTAGTCATTGACGTTGGCTTGAAAAGTAACAAAAATTACTTAAACAATTCATGAACAAACACTATTTGAAATATACTACTAAATAAAAAGAAAAGAAGAGTAAAAACTTCTAACAATACAATCTACCCGAATTTCATATTCTTAAACTGCGCAAAGTTTTGCAGTGAAGGAAATACGAATGTTCAGACCTTGAAATATTCCTCCCTCTGCAATCTCCACTAGGAGAAACATCATATTCTCATCTATTGAGACAAACCAATATCTCTAATTTTAGAAAACCTATAAGGAGGGTATGTTTCATAGATCTTATCTTAAATTAGTGCCCGGAGAATTGCCTTGCACTATGCGTCAGTCACACCCAAACAGTTATCTGTGTATTGTGTTCATGACTTTCAACAGAGACACACGAGATAGCAATTAACACTACCTGGAGAAAGCATAAATAAACAAATGCTGATGTTCATAGGATGAGAATCATTGATTTACCATGAGGTATGAACCCTTTAGAGCGTTTGACCTGTGTGATTCCCAGAGACAACTGCATTCGGGCAGAGGATTTGAGTAGATTGAATCCTTTCTTGAAGACTTCTTCACTCTCGGTACTAAGATGCTATTGCGATCACTCTCAGCTAGCATTGATCCCATCTGATCTTTGAAATCATTCCAACTATGTAGCAATAATGACTAATTTTCAGGATCTTCAGCAAAGTGAACAAGGAATTAACAGAAAAGGACAAAACATAAAAAGATACAGAATTCTAGACAGCCATGGGTTATCATCTCTGTTTAATTAAAATCCTTTTTCATCTCCTTGTTTAAGGAGTTCTAAAATATATTTAGCTCTGATACCAAATTGAAGTATGTGCTCCATCTCAACTAAAAGTCTGATACTAAATTGAAGCATGTGCTCCATCTCAACTAAAAGCCTAAGCTAATAGTTGGATTGCACATTAATGGCTATATGCTCAACATGGAGATTATAACCATTAAAGTTTAGTGGTGGAAAAAATAATAGAAAAAGGAAATCAAGTTTATGCAAAATTATAGGAAATGATATCAATCACCTTATGCTTGTGTTCTGTAGTAAAGCGACAAGCTTGATTTTGTCTGGTTTAATAGTTTTGGCATGCCCATTATAGAGATATCTCCGATGACCAATCAAAAAATGAGGGAAGTTTCCTCCTTGAGTAGTGACAAACACTTCGCTAAACAAGCATACCATATAGTCCAGAGCAGCTAACCTTGATGAGTAATTCTAGAAAACCAAAAAATGAAATGCTTAGTTAATCACAAGTGGGAGATGCTGTGAAAAGAGGCGACTTTCATAGTTTTTCCCAATTGAGTTTTCGCATAATATATTGCACGTCCTTTCTAATATAGCAGCCTCCCAAATCCTCTAAATCAAGTATCCTCTTGATCTAAGACACTAACACTTTGATTTTGTAAGTCCCCAAGAAACAATGTTTAGATCTTCTAACATCATGTACATCTAACATTCTAGAATCCATTATTAGTCATGTAAGAGATAGCTCCGTCTAGTGAACAATATAACAGCAGTAAAGCTCTTAAGCCAAGATTTAATACCTGGAATGGAGCAAGCTCCTCAGTGGTTGCAAGTGTATCCTTTGTCTGTAGGAGGGGAAACATCTCTTGAAGAGGGGCTAGATTTCTCGCTGTTTGGTAAATCTTCCCAGAAGCCAAATAAATTGGAGTGTCTTTGGCAAATCCCATACCTCTAAGCATCATTCCTACCTATCCTGACAAAAATTAACATACAAAGCAAAATAGTACTTAGGATATACACAAACAGAAAATCTGAATCTAATTGAATCAAAGATCTTCCAAGTATTAGGAAACAAATATTGGAAAAAATTCAAACAAAGTATAATTCATGTGAAGCACACATTGGAAACTGAGAGCAAGCAAATAAATATCCTAACTTTTCTAGTTTCTAGTGTAAGTGTGAATAAATACTAAATAAATGTTGAGGCTAAGACATGCAAGTTTACGAGTTTCAAAAAGACAAAAGCATTATAGATATTAATAAAAAGTTGATTTAGAAAATATAGAAAACTGTTGAAGTTGGCACAATAATTTTGGCTTTTATCCATACAGTGGAGGAATAAAGTAGATAGCAGTATAGCACCACTTTTGATATTTAATATTGTGAAAATTGATTCAATATTAATCCTCTAAATATGTGAAGTTATGTGAAAATTATTAGAATATATGAGTGTGTAAATATATCTAACCTCTAAGGGGGAGATAGGGCATCTTCCATTTATACGATTCAGACCAGGATAATCTACACGACCTCTTTGCTTGAACTTGTTTCCCCATCCTTTTTCACGTATTGCATCCATTTCAGCTTTTTCAGCCTCTCCACCATCATACACACAACATGAGAAGGCAACCATGTCCTACAGAATAAGAGAATGAAGAGCAACTTTTGACCATGATATCAGATATTAAATGTTACAAGAAAAGAACATTTCAACAAAGTAGAACACTATGGGGGACATAGAGAGATGATTATACCTCCTCAAATCGAAGATGAATGGACACATAGTTCCCTTGAAAACTGGAGCTCTTCTCAATCATTCGGCTGACTAACTTCTTTGCAAGGATTGATATAGCAGAAGAGAATTTCAAAGCTTCATAGTTAGCTAGGCATCTCAAGAACTGAATATGAGATGGCACATTCACTGCCAATCTATTTGCAAAAGGAGAAATACGAACAACCCTGTATTATGAAATACAATTATCCAATAAGATATAATGTTGTACCATTCTTTTTCTGAGTGCAATAGGGTCCTATTTCATTTTCTTCTAACCATTGAAAAAAATGAAATTGATATGTGGTTTCATAAACAACACGCGCATACACACAGAATACTCAACTTGAAAATGGGATGTAATTCCTCTGCATTTATGTAAAAGAAACTACATTAAGTATAACTAGCTTATTGATTATGGGCAATGCAACTTTTTTCCTTTGCTTTTCTTAGAAGATGATTATATCATATTTCAACAAAATGTACAAGCTTCAAACCATGTCAAAGAAGTAACCCAAAAGCACATTGAACATTTTGGTTCTACACACAAACTTTCCTTGAAGCTATACCTTTGGGCTTTTCAGCTAAAGAAAAGATGGGAAAGCATCAACAAAATAATGTGCATCAGGGGAATCAACAGGTGCTTTTTGGCTTTTTAGCATGTGTATCTACAATAAAAAAAGAGGTGATATCAATGTGCATCTAGTTTGTTCAGAATAAGTATTATTGCACAGCAATTATGCAAGGTTAATGTATTTGTACATCTAGTTTGAAAGAAAGGAGCAAGAGAATGTAGTGCTTCTTGGTAGGTGATTCCAATGATTGACAACATAGATCTTTCAAATTCTTAATTGAACAGGAAATATTTAATCAAATTCAAATGGACAGAGAAAGTGATAAGTAGTTACCGTTCCTCAAGCAAGAAAGGATAGACCTCTTCCAAGTAGTAATTGGCAGGTGCCCAAGCCTGGACATGAATGTTTGGGATATTGCTGATGTTGTACCCATATATTGCCATCAATTCTGCAGGCAATTCTTTGACCACTTCGACATAGTCTTTAAGGGTGGAAATGAAATGGTCTTCATCATAAATATCAGCAAACTCACTGAAGTGTACAAAATGAAAGAATGCTCATAAAAAATGTAGTAAAAATGAAAGCTTCTGGTAAACATATATGGTAAATATCAAATACGTGTAGAGACAAATGAATCATGGATAGAGTGATGCCAAGAGATACAGATCTTGCTTAGAAAATAGGGTCCTGCTTTTGGAATCCAGTGACATAAAATCACATGTTAAATGCAGTTAGACAGTTAAATATATTAGCATATAAGAATTATAAGAAATCTAAATGTTAGAGTACAAAATTTGACTTGGTTTTGATAGAAAGAAAAAGGAATGAGAGACAGCTCCATTATGAAATGATGTTTTACACATAATGTTCCACACATGTATAAGAAAATGCTATGTTCCACATGGAATAATTTGTTTAATTTCTTTCCCAGGCATAGTAGTCACAGAAGGTCAGAAGAACATCCTCAAGCTTGCAGAAATAACAAACTCTCAAAAGAACTTGGACAAATTTTTAAAGAGATGACAAAGACATCAATCTCAAAATGTGAAAATCTAGCACACAAGGAGTGAACCTTAAGGGGAACAATATAAAACAAGGATGAAAATCTCACAAACTCACCTAGAGTCCCTCCAAACATTGTTAAATTCAAGATGAGGGATGACCAGTGTTGCGTTCAATAACCCAGCAACTGCCACTGCATTGCAGATCTGCAGATTAAGCAATTATGACGGTGACATGATGTGATCAGCATACATTTTGGAGAAATGTGAAACCAAACTAGAAAATCTGCTGGTTGACTATATACAAATCACGCACCGATGATCTTTGCTGATTAAGGCCACCATTAGCCTCAATAATTATGTAAAGATTGGATGACTCTGAAGACACTAAACATTTCACATCAGGTCTCCTTCATAATGCAAATATCTTCATCTATGAAGAATAGCCACTTAAAAACCAACCATTTTCTGAAGCAAAATCCATCTTACAATGAACAAGGTCAGAAAACAATATAAAAAGTCTGAAGAGTGAAGAATGAAATACCTAGACGCAGAGCAGCAGAAGTGTTTGAGCAATGCCTTTGCTCTCTTAGCTTCCTTTTGTATATCCAGACATGTGACAACTGCATAATGTGATGAAATAAAAAGTGAGAAAATAAATAAAAATTGAAAACAAACAAAAGAACAAATATGAAATCATCCATTCCCTATGAAATTAGCATTTTTCTAGTCCAGATAACATACAGAGTCCCGTGCAATCAATTAATTCGATAAATATAAAATATTTTATACGAAAAAAAAAAGATAAAAATCAGAGAAAATGAGAGAGCAGACGAAAAAAAGGAACTAATCAAACCTCAACAGTAGAAGAATTGTCGGCATCAATGTCGGTCCATAGCCTCCGGAAGATCTCGTGGCTGCGGTAGACGGCGCCCTGCGGTGAACGACTGTGCAAGAGGGAGAACAGGGGGCGCAGGCAGCTGATCAGGCCGGAGAAGTAGAGGAGTGGCAGGAGAAGCAGTGAGCACCGGAGAAGAATCCGGCGGTTGGAGAAGAGAAACCCGCCTCGCCTGCGGTAGTGGAGCTGTAGCTTCCGCCGAGAGTGGCGGTGGGCCGGCGAAGGGGGCGGCGAGGTCGGAGTTTGAGCGTCGGTGGTAGCCCCGTAATCAACGGCGATTTTTGAGGCCATGCAATAGAGACTGTGCGCTGTCAGAGAATAGAACGGAAAATAAAAATTAATTGACAGAAATATATACGTTGAAAAGTACTGTAATAAAGTCTATAGTATTCAAAAATTTAAATAATAATAATAATAAGTGAATATAATATCATGTAATATAGTACACTGATGTTATTGTCCAACAGCATTAATTCATGGATAAGTTTTCTGTGACACTATCTCACAAAATGACACAAATTAATTCAAGATGTAAATATAATACTCCGTAATTATAGTGAAAATTGTAATATTAATAAAGAATAAATTATTTATTATTTATAAGAGAAATTGTAGTTGTAATATTTATTTATTAAAGAAACATGTAATATTAAAATAATTTTGAGGTTGAGCAATTACTTATGATAAAATTATAATGTTAATTATTGATAAATTGATTGATCGTTACTTGAGAATGTGTAATATTTATGATAAAAAATGTAATATTTTTAAATCAAATGTAATATTAAGGGTTGACGAGTTACTTATGAACAAAACTGCAATACTTGTGATATAAAATGTAATACTTATTAAAAAAATTCAACCAGTCTCATAGATGAGTGTCTTTGAAACGATCTCATAAGAAATTTTTCCTAGTAATATTATTTCTTATAAACTATCTATTATAGTTTTGTTAGAGTTAATTTTATTTTTGTCCTATATTTATAGTGTTTGTAAGAACATTTCCTTTGTTCCTAGCATTATTGTAGCATCACTATTTTTTATTCTACGTCAATAAATATGTTTAAATAACACTAAAAATGACATTTTTGAAGATGTAAGGTTCTATTACCCAGAAGGAAAAAATGAGGATTTTGAGTGGTTAATAACGTCATTTTTAATGTCGTTTAATCATGTCAAAATAATGTTAGAACCAACGGGGATGTTCTGAAAAAAAAAATTGACTAAAAGTGAAATGACACATATAAATCGAAGACCTAAAAAGAAAAAAATGAATTAACACTTAGAATTGAATAAACTGAAATACCCTTGTATTAATGCCATTTAAATGGTTTTGTTGATGGAGAACAAAAAATGGTCATGCCACAAAACTAGTAGGACCAAAAGGAAATGTTTTTAAAATAATGACTAAAAGTGAATTGAAACTTATAAATCTTAGACGAAAAATAAAATTAACTTGTTTTGTTATAAAGTATTACATTTATGCTATAAAATTATATATAAGGTTTGTATTGATTGCAAATTATACTATAGATCATGGTCCACCTTGCATTGTGGAGCCTAATTCAAAATAACGTTCAAATTATGTGTCTGCAATTAACAAATTTATATACTTGCAAATAATTGAATACACATAATATGTTAATTACAGACACATAATATGTTAACTACATGCACATAATATGTTAATTGTAGTCACATAATATGTCATTAACATATTATGTGACTGTAGTTAACATATGAAAAAATGCAATTTTAGTCCCTCAATTGTTCTTTGCTAGCGGTTTTAGTCCCTAACTTTTTACCGTTGTAATATACACCCCTAACTTTTCAAAAAAGTTGTATTTTGAACCCTTGGAGTAACAAAACTATTAAACTCTATTAAAATTGTACTTAGTTCATGGATATTTTAAAATTTTATTATCTTTGTTCTTTATAACATTGTCAATTTTAGTATTTCATTTGCAAAATAGAGATTTGACAACCTTCTTCCCTAAAATTTTTCTTTTCAGTTGTGGAACATCGTTCCTATTTTCTCTACACGACCAAGTTAAAATCATGTTTTTTATTTTACAAATGAAATATCGAGACTAAATAATGTTATAATTAAAGAAGAAACATTAAAAATTACTAAAATACCATGTAGTAAGTCTAATTTTAATAAAGTCTAATTGTTTTGTTGCTCTATGGGTTAAAACTGTAACTTTTTTTAAGAGTTATAGGTGTATATTAGAACGGTAAAAAGTTAGGGATTAAAATTGCTAGTAAAGAACAATTGAGGGACTAAAATTACATTTTTTCCCTTAACATATTATGTGTCTTCAATTTGTTTACATACATGTAATTTATTAACTGAATGCATATAATATGCTAATTGCGGACAAATAATTTTTGGACCAGGGTCCACAATGCAAAGTGGACCCTAATCCATGGTATAACATCAATCGTTATGTTGTGGAACCGTGTCCACCTTGCAAGGTGGACATGATTCTATGTTCATAATTATAGAACTATATGTTCATAATTATGTTCACAACTCTATGTTCATAATTATAAAACTATATGTTCATAATTTTTGAACTATATATTCATAATTATGAATAGTTTAAGGAACCATGTCCACCTTGCAAAGTGAACACGATTCCACAACATAATTTGTGGCTAGTGGCAATTTCGATCGTCTCAAACCTGATGTTATCCTTCACCTTCCCCTCTACCCAAAAAAAAAAAAAACAAAAACATGATGTTGTTATGTTGAAATGGATGGTAATCTGCTATTAAGTAAAATTGCATACATTTGGAGTGTTTAGTGGCTTAATTGTAAAAAATTTTCGTCCAGTGATCTAATTGCATTTTCAAGTTACGTTCAGTAGCCAATTATTTTAGACCAAGCTGCTACCAAGATCTACAATATAAGATGAACCCTGATCCATGTTTAGCTTAGAAGTTCCATGCTATGCTTTAAACTTTAAATGTACTTCAGTTCAAAGTTTAGGACATTTATTCAGCTTAACTTCCCAGTACAGCTCTAGTCTGAGTATAACACTGTAACATAGGAACTTGACAACAAATTACTTGCCAAAAGTAAAATGAGTCTGGAAGATAAGATACAGACTTAGTCTCTTGACTAGCTCAAGAGGACACCTTATCCATCTAGGCAGAACCTCCTACCCTATCACGGGGAATCAGGCGCAATTCGGATCCATGTTTGAGGAAAACATTTCCTGAAATAAAGCAAAGAAAGTTTTAATTCATCTAAAAATCATGGAATCAATGCACAACAAGACAATATTAACAAACAACAAAATTGAATGTTGATCGTATAAATGATAAACCATTCAAATGTGTCACATAAATTTCATTATCGGAAATTCTGATCATGCTGAGGTTAAATCTCCTAGGTCTGGCAAAACACAAAACCACCAATCTATCTTCTCAGAGTTATGTTTACTGTAAAACTTTTAAGTCCTACAGTGGCACTTAGTTGAAAGAAGACATCTTCATGCTCACTGGACCTCATCCCCAACCTACCAGAGACAGAAAATTATACTATGGACCATGGCCCACATCGCAATGTGGATCACAGATAAATGCTCATTTTTAGTATATTAAATGTTCATTTTTAACGTACTGAAAGCTCATTTTTTGGTAGTACATCTAAATATGAAATTTCAGTATACAAAAAATGGAAATGAACATTCAGTATACTAATAATGAACTTAAAGTGGACCATGGTCCATGGTATAATGATTGACCAAAGACGAAGGAAATACTGTACTCCTAGTAATCATGGAATACAAAGTTAACCTAAAGGAGTAAGAATCTCTAGCAAACTCAACAGCCTGGGAGGAAAAGACCTAAAGGAATAGGACATTGGAGAAGTCAAGTCATACATGCCTTCCTCGTTCACTTCTCAGACTTCGTGCCAAAAGAACTCTACATCATCAAAGGAGCCCTTTCTTGCATCTCATAGGAATACAGAATACTTATCCTCTATTACAAAATCCAATTGAGAGTGGGACAACTCCATAAACAAATATTCTCTCTTAGGCTCTTAGCTCCACAAAAGGGATATTATCTCCATAGTCAACACAAACACAAACTCTATAGCACCAACATTTATTCATGTTTATTTGCGTTGATTATCAGAATTGATAACTTTTAGAGGATAAATTTTACAGACAGACATAAAATTAGTGTGACATAAGAGATCTGTAGAAAACAGAAAATAGAGAGAGACAAAGCATGGATGTAGGACTAATAGAAAAAGGATAAGTCCAACAAAGAATTAATGCAGTAATTATAGTCAACTTATGCCACTAACTTGCAGCAATATTACATGTTACTCCTTCCACCTACTCAAGAATACTTGCAAGAATATGGGTAATTCTCGTTCAAAATTAAGGCACCACACTGTAAACACCTACAATAGCTAGAGGTTGCTATCATGACAACCTCTGAACTTAACTAAATTTCTACATAATACCCATGAAATTAATCAAATTGCCTTTGCTGCTTGCAGTAATATCTTTGTCATTTACTCTTTATATCTAGGCTTATCTATCCCTTTTCAACAATGTGAAATACAATACACACAGAAAGTCTTTTCCTTTTGCTTACACCTACATTCCATAGCTCTTTGATCTGTATTTATTTACTTACGGAGTATTTGTTTATCATTCCTTGAACCAATAATAGCTTACCAATTATAATGTGAGTCACCTGTGATAGTCATCCACTTATTCCACTCTGATATATATATATATATATGTAGATATGCATACATACATGTATGTATGCATATATGTGTGTAAGTGTATGTGTATTTATTTAAATAAACACACACCTACACAAAACAAAATAAAGGAAAACTATTTGCTCCAACTAAAAGATGCAGGAAAACCAAGGAGCCAAGATCTAGTTTAACTTACAATCTTTAATGTCCACGGTCCAATTAACCATTTAGTTTACTCTATATTTAGGAGAGCCAACAAGACCATTATGTGATGAAGAAAATCATTGTAGCAACCACAATGGAACCATTAAGATGTAAGGACTGAAAAATGTTCCAAGAACCTCAAACAGGCATCTTATAGTGGGGATCAATCGGCCTATACACATTCCAAGGGCACTATGCAATCCAACTTGGCAACTTGCTCATATTGCATTATTATCATTATTTCATCTAATTAAAATATAAAATTCCTTCACTTCACACTGTTTGAGCCTCTAGATTTTGTTTCTTTTCCCCTGTTAGTTACGTGACTGGTACTATGTCAATGGGAGTTCTACATTCTCATACAAGATCACATTAAAAAGTTCAATAGGTTCTTGGGTACTTCATAACATGTTGATGATCAGATATAACAGCATTAATAAACCTTAAGTAACAGGGTGGCACCTAAGAATGTCAAGTGTGCTTGCATCACACATAGCACAATAGATAATAACCGAATGGGAAGTGGGCACCATAATTACCACCAATGAGCCTAACAGGATAGGAAAAAAAAAAAAAAAAAAGCAGATTGACGGGCATTTATAGACCTTGGAATTTACACTACCAAACTTGGAAGTGTGCCCATTAATAGACTTAAGGAAATGACAGAGGAAAGAGAAAAGTGCATAGATACCAAATACTTGTCTGACCTGGATTTTGAACTTGCTAAAATAACTTGGTTATAATAAAGATACCACAAATAACTAAGAAAATGCACATATGAATGTCAACCAGGAATTGCTCCTAGAGCAAAATAAGTTGCTAACAAGAAAAAAAACAAAATGTTGTTCCTTAGAGAAGCTTCTATCCTTTTATACTGCATGGGTTCTTTTAATACCATCCCTTTCCCTGACAAAGTTGTATTACTTCTCCGGGACTGTTAGCTTATGCATCACTGGTAATTACTTCCTATTCCCAGAAGCACACATTGCAAGATGCCATAAATAAAAAATAATTCCAAGCACTTCACAAGGCACTAATACAGAATAAAGTTGAGAAGAATAAAGGTACCTGCACTTTGTTGAGGGTTGATTCCTACTCCATCTAAACAAAGAAAACCAAAAAAAATAAAGTCAATTTTCATCAAGAAAAAACCCATATATTAAAAAAAAAACACCAGTAACAAGCAGTAGTAAACAAATTTTACTACACATTTTAATTCTGTAAATGAAAATTTGTTATAATATTTAATTTTCCTTTATTTTTCAATTGGGATTTTATTCAACAGCCTAAGAGAAGAAAAAAGTGCAACAAGAATTTCTGCAATTCATCATGAGGCAAGGTAGAAATCAAAACGTAGTACAATATGTTAGACACGCTTCAACAATAAACTTTTTTATTTTTTATTTTTAAAAACCACCAGCCACAACAAAATTGAAATTTGTTCATAAATATAGACACAGAAAAAACATATACATATATTTGTATGCGTATGCATATACGAAAATCAAATACCATTAGTGATGATAGCGCTGGTTTGGGGAGGTACTTTGAATTCCTCGGCGGCGAATTTGAGAACGGCGGTGAATGGGGCGGCCTCCGGGACGCTGAAACTGAAGTAGAGTACAACGAGGGTGAATTTGAACGGATGTTAAACAGATTCGCAAAAATGAAATTCAGAAAAGAAAAATGATCAAGAAAAATTGAAGGGCAAAAGCGTGGATACTCACACTTTGAAGGGCAGTTTCGGATCGGAAGTGAGGATGACCTTGAACGAAACCTTGCCTCCAGCGCTAGCCATGTCTTCTTCCTCCTTTACGAGTTGGGCGCAGCTTTGTCGTCGGAGGTCCGGGCAATTTATAATTGTTTGTATTGTGGCTTGTTTGGTTGAACCAGGATTTGAAAGTCACAATTCCTATAAGCAAAAACTAGCAAATACCAATTTTGGTTCCACAAATATTAATAAAATAATAGGTTTAGTCCACATGTTTAATTCATATCAATTTTCATCCACGATTATTGTTCTAGTATCAATTTCTATTCACAATTATTGTTTTAGTGGCAAAAATTCATCACGCCAGTCACCTCTTCGTTTAAGACATGCCGAAATATGAAATTATTCAAGGTATTTTTATCATTTTCAAATTAATATCACAATTTAAACATGAATAAAGAGATTGAAACTCTAAGATCGATCTCAATTCGCAATTCTCCTCCTCAAATTAAGGTAGGATGAAGAAGAGAATTACAAATTGAGATCGATCTTAGGACTTAAATTTATTTATTCATGCTCAAATTGGAATTTTAAGTTGAAAGGGACGAAAATACCCTTTAAAATTTTTAGATTTCGGCATGTCTTAAACGGAGTGGTGGCCGACGTGATGAATTTTGACACTAAAATAATAGTCGTGGATGAAAATTGGTATGAATTAAACATGTGGACCAAAACTGTCATTTTGCTAATTCTCGTAGGACCAAAATTGATATTTGTGCAAAAATTATTGGACCATCTCACATATCGTTGTCCGTGAGATGAATTGGGTCAAATAAAAATATACTTCGTAACATTTATACTGAAAAATGTAATACTAATCAAGAATAAAATGTTTATTACTTATAAGAGAAAGTGTAATATTTTGAAGAAAATATAGACAGAAGTGTCAAATAGGCCCATCTACTGCTGCGAAGTGCTCAATTCGCACCACGAACTAAATTAAGTGTCAAATAGGTCCATCTACCAGTTAAATTTGTTCGATTATTTTTTTTTACAAGTTGTTAACAGGTTGCCTATTCGATTATTAATATATATATATATATATATATATATATATATATATATATATATATATATATATAAAGAATTTCAGCCATCGGCTGTCCGCGCCGTACAGCCGGTGGCTGATTTTTTTTTTTTTTTTTTTTTATAAATATATTTTTTAATAATTGAATATGCAACCTGTTTGTAACCTACAAAAAAAAAATTAATCGAACAAATTTAGCTAGTAGATGGACCCATTTGACACTTAATTTAGTTCATGGTGTGGGAATTGAGCACTTCGCACACTTCGCAGTAGTAGATGGGCATATTTGACACTTCTGTCAAAAATATAATACTTCTACATTATAATTTAAAAGTATTATATTTTTTTTCCAAAAGTATTATTACATTTTTCTTATAAGTAACAAACACTTGTCAACATTATTTATAAGAGAAAATGTAATATTTTGAGAAAATATATAATACTTTTACATTTGATTTAAAAGTATTACATTTTTCATCAAAAGTAACACACACTTTATTTCTTACTAGTATTACATTTTTCAGTATAAGTATTACAGTTTCATATTGATCCGGCCCAACACACAAGTGCAATTGTTATGTCGTAGAACAGTGTCCACCTTGCAAGGTGGACGCGGTTCCACAGCATAACGATTGGTGGTAGTAGTGGTAGTGACAGATAGTGTTATTGGTTCATAGAAAAATGTTTAGTAAAATTAATTGTTTATTGTTTTTGAAGAAATGAACTTCATTCATTAAATCAGAAGAAAGAATAGCAACAAGATAATGAGGAGGATTATCAAACCACTCCCCGCAACCTGACATAGAAACAACTTTCCGAGCAAGAGTGTGGACATCACGATTCGCAGATTGTTTAATAAAACTAAAGTTAACCCTGTTTATCAAAAGCAGAATAAAAAGAATTCAAATGTAAAGCATAAAAACATAATTGTGAGTCCGTTTCAACGTTCACGTCCCCCATTCCAGTGTTTTCAACCAATTAAGAGCTTCCCGAATACGGAACACTTTGGCCTCCAACACACTATATTGTCCAGGAATACGGAGACTTTTAGATGCTAAGAAGCGGCCTTCAACGTCAGGCAAGATCCAACCAAGGCCCGTAACATTTTTTCCACATCAAAAGCAGCATTTGCATGTATTCATCTTCAACCTTCCTGCATCCGGTAATTTCCATTTGGTCACAATAGTTTGCATTCCAGTGTTTCCATTATCCATCGTATTCACCACCTTCTAATTCGCCCAAAAAGATAGAGCATTATGAACAACTGAATCACTGACAAATGGTACTCTCTTCCAAACCCTGTCGTTTCTATACCCCAAAGACCCCAACAAAGCATTACAAACTTGCATTGTATATCATCCTTTAGCTTAGTTAAAAAAAATCAAAAAAATAGTATACAATATTACAGAACTGCAGATACGCGACCGTTGTAAAAGACATTACGCGACCATTGTACAATAGTCGCCTATGCGAGGCTCACGGAAAGCAATGTACTTTATGGGACGGTTTCTCAACTAGAAACAGTGGCGTTTTCCTTTTTTATTTTTTTTTAATTAATCAGTCCTCGACGACCATTTTAAGCTAGGAACGGACGTTGATGACTTGTTTTTTTTTTTTAATATTTAATTTATTTTAATTAAAATCTCTATTTTTTTTTTTTTTTAATTCCTATACATGTTAGAGCTTAAAATTCATATCAATAGTACTCCACAATACAATTTATCTATTAACACACTTTAAAACAATACTATCATCAAATTAAAACAATACTATCATACTTTAATACAATAGAATCAACGATGCAATCAAAAGTGTTTCTCCTTCCATACCCACCCTTGTTTTATTTTTCTTCGTAATTCTCAAGCTTGTTAGATGAGAGGACAATCAAGAATTCACACATAAAATATCCATAAATGACATGCTTTAATGGAATTCATATCTTACATTCCCGTTGTAGTCGAAGACATATGGATAAGAGAGATGGCAATCTTCATCCAAAGGAATGCCCAACTGTTCCCATGTTGCTCCCTTATCGGTACTTCTAGCAACACCAATATCCCCTTGCATTGTGATCGCGTTCTTAGTTTCAAAGAACAGGATCGGAAAAGAGTGTCTCCCTGGAAATGTGCGAACAAAAATCAGACACTACATCCAAAGTCACTAAAGTTTTCAAAGTTCGAACGTAAAACTATAATTAGATGCGTTTCTGATGATGATACCATTTACTACATTCGCAGTAGGCAAGCTTTCAAATCAAAACATATACTTCATAACAAATAATCTCTTTTCATTTGCCATCAATACAGCACAGAATAATCTGATTCATACTCTAAGGCCTGAGGGTAATTGAAAGGAATATATTCCGTTTCAACTACTCATAAATCAATCAAGTCACTATACTATCATCATATATTCTCATTTGTCATTGAAATTTGTCTCCAAAGATATATATAACGAATTGAAGAAAAGTTTCTCGTATCAGTAAACATTGAAGACGATTCGAAGTTGTCTTTTTTTTTTTTTTTTTTTTCTTTTTTTTTTTTTTTTTTTTCTTCTGATAACAACAACAATAATAGTAATAATTAAAAGATCAAATGAATTATGAACTATTATGTAGTATGATGGTATTGCGGTTATTATTTTAAATGGATGGTTATAGGTTCGAACCCCGGATCCCGGTGATTGGACTTATATTCTTTGATTATTCGTGTTTGTTCACGTTCGCGAATGGTTCAATTCGTAATAACCAAATGTTCATGATCACGTACAATTCGTTCGTGGACAAGAAATTATATATGTTCATGTTCACGAACATTATTAAACGAACACTAAACAGGTTCACGATCGCTTACAATTGTTCATACTCTTTTAGTTTATAAACCGAGCTCTAAATTTTGTTTGTTAATGTTCGTTTACCTTAATAAACGAACATAAACGGACGTTTACTGAACACGAACACAAGTAGTTTACTGAAAACTCTATTCGCTAACACCCCTACTTGTAATGAGTTGTTTAAATTTTATATGGTTTTTTTTTTCAGTCAGTAAACTCCTAACTGCTACATCATATTGATTTTGCTTTTTTAGAATGACAAAGCACTTGTCGATAACAAACCAATTAAAATAAACTCTTTTTGAAGGAGAATGAGGAGTAGAAGAAGTACAATGGTACCATGAAAATAGTACGGTAATTCTTTAAAAGAAAAATAATTGCACATACAAAAGATTAACATCTTTAATTTTACATACTTCTGTGTAGTGTAATTATTTTGTGCCCCAAGGATCCAGGGATCCCAGGGAACACCATGGTAGACTTGTCAACCCAATAATTTACAAAGGTTATTAAAGTTATATGTAAATTAAAGCATAATATTAATATATTATTCTGATAAATTACTTTATGATAGAGTATTCAAAAGAATATTAAACAAATGAATTTTTAATTGAATATTAATATCTTATTACCTAATCATCATTAATAAATAAATAATAATCTCAACATATCAAAGTTTTATTATATTCTTTATCTCAATCTATGTAAGTTTTTTGCAGAAATAATATTTAATTTATTTTGTCAACATTAAAAAGGAATCTGAAGTTTTATTATATTCTTTATCTCAATCTATTAAGTTTTTTGCAGAAATAATATTTAATTTATTTTGTCAACATTAAAAAGGAATCTGAATGAGGTCAATGACGAAGTTGCAACACACTTTCTTATGCAAGTCATCATCATCTTCTCTCATTATGACAAGTACATACGGAGAAATATACGTTTCTCTGTCGTGTATTTATCTTTTTTTTTTTTTGAATGCTACTGACTTTATTACAACGTAGTATCTATTTATAACTAATTTCTCAACCTACTGAAACATAAAGAGCCAATAATGTCTTCATTGAAGCTCAAACCCACAACCTCCTATATGAAAGTCCAACTTTAATTTTGCACGATTTTAAAGAAAATGAATAAGAATTGAAGTGATATTTTTTTTAAAAAAAAATTTACACTTTTTTATACTTTCTCTAACTACTGCAGCCAAAGAGTCAATACCCCACCACCAGAGTTCGATCCTG